TATCATTTACTCTTCTACCTTTGGCCATTCCAGGAAGAGTCAGCCTGTCAATTTTTCTTTGATATAAATGAAAAGCAGGGAAGGAAGCGTTCATCTACAGGCAGAGATAGCAAGTCCTCTTCTCACTCAAAGCAGCCTCGCAAACCTCGTAAGTACCTTGGTTCCAGAGATCTCCTCTGTGAGCAGTAACTGTTATTTTAGCCAAGCAGCATTGTAAGAGAGCCTCTTCTGGCAGAAGAAAATTGTACAATGAGTCATTAGGACCAATAATAAAAATGAAATAATACAAAGATGGCCTGACTTTGAGGCTGAGACTATTCCTGTAAGAACTATTAAAACAGCCCCTTTCATTCATGTCTGTAAAACATGTGAGGTAAAGAGCCTACAGAACCAATAAAGATTCATAAAATAGAATAATCAAACTGGTAGAAAAGACTTTAAGGCTATTTCATTGAGGTCCTTTTTATCCACCCTCTCATTTCAAAGATGAAGAAGCTCACCTTGGGAAGGTAAACTTACTGCCCGGGGTCATATGGATGGCTAGTTGGATAGCTGGGACTGGAATTGGGGCTCGTGACACCCAGTTCAGTTTTCTTTCATTGCAGCCTATTGCCAGTTATATGCTATTTTTGTCAGTATGTGGTTATTACTTTTGGATCTCCTACCTGTGGAATAGTTAACAAATTCAGAATTTTTCTAGTAAAAGTTAGTTTCATCGATAATGGTGATGTGTTTGTGTGTGTGTGGTCATAGTGGGAAGAGAACAGGCCCAGCTCATTGTGGCAGTGCTGTATACCAGTCTTGCAGGATATAAAGATCAGACAAGGATTATTATTTGCTGGAGTTCCTAGACCATAGTAATGTTTGGCTTTCTTCCACATGAAGCTCAGCCTCCAGGACCCTGCTGGTTTTGCCTTGCCAGCCCTGAAGTGGAGAAGCATTTGGTGGTCAACATTGGCACACATGTGAGTTATTTCTATGGATCTTTTACAGAGGAGACACCTGTTTGTTTTCTGTTCACTTCATTGAGTCATAATTTACATATAAAATTTACCCAATTAAGTGTACAATTCAGCAATTTTTAATAAGCTTACCTAGTTGTGCAACTGTCACATAATACAGTTTTGGAACATGTCCATTGCTCCAATAAGATTCCTCATGCCCATTTACAGTGACTCTCCATTTCCACCCTCAGCCCCAGGCAACCACTAATCTACCTTCTGTCTCCATGGGTTTGCCTTTTCTGGACATTTCATATAAATGGAATCATAGAATATGTGATCTTTGTGTCTGGCCTCTTTTACTTAGCATAATATTCTTGGGGCTCATCCATGTTGTAGCATCTATCAGTATTCCATTCTTTTTATAGTCAAATATTATCCCATTGTATGCATATTCTACATTTTGTCTATATATTCAATAAATGGACATTTGGGTTATTTTCACTTTATGGCTATTAGGAATAATGTCGCTTTGAATGTTTGCATGTATGTCTTTGTGTGGACATATGTATTCATTTCTTTTGGATAGACACCTAGGAATGGAATTGCTGGCAAATTTATCTTTAACTCTTTAAGAAACTGCCAAAGTATTTTCCAAAATAGCTGTACCATCTTTTATTCCTAACAGTAATGTATGAGGGTTCTCGTTTTTCCACATCCTTGCTAACATCTTTTTATTGTCACTTTTTGATTATAGCAGTTCTCCTGTGGTTTTGTAGTATCAGTTTCACGAAATTGCTTCCTCCCTTCTTCCCCCTCTGACAAATAGGTATGGATCTTCTAGGGTGATGCTTTTATGTACTTCTCGAACTCTATTTTTACTCCATACTAGTAAAAAGTGATAAATTCTCAGTGTTGCTTAGTAGTAGAGGCTATAGCTTCTGAATGACAGGAATCCCCACAGCCACATCGGGTATCTGGGAACCCAAGTAATAAAATAATAAGGTTGCTTGGCGAGTACTGAATCCAACTATGAGAACTGGATGATCTTGAGGATGATTTTACTCAGACTATGTAAACCTCTGATAAAGTATGTGTCTCACAATAAGGTCATCCTATTTCAGATTTTCTCAGATACTTTTCCTTGGGCAGAGTTCGATTAGGTTTTGAGTGATACCTTTGATCCTCATTTCGCTGGGATCCATATAGACCATTATCCTTTTCATTTACTGCGAATGAAAAAAGCTTAATTTTCAGGGTTGCATTTGTACCTTTAACACCTATGACTGTTTGCCAAGGCTCCTGAGGAAAATAATTTACAATCCATTTCTTAGTGTGTGGCACTTCTGCTGACAGATACTTTCATCTGTTTTTCATTGGCTTAGTCTAATTTTTGTTTCTGAGCACATTATCCTGACAATCTGAGGGCTCTTTATCATGGCCTCCTATAGAATGACTGATTAGCGTCTCTATTTCATCTTGCACTCTAAGTCAATCCCTCTCCTGCCTTTGTTGTTTGAGACTGAGTGGTCCCAGTCTTTTACATTTAATTTTTATGTCTTTATTATTGGCACATTTCCTAGCTCTCGGGGGAAGACTAAATGGGGTGCAGGCCTGTGGTACAATTGGGCTATGGAGCCTGTGGATGAACTCTTCAGTATGAAGAAGAGCAAACTTGAAAAGCTCTTGCTGTTAAGGGAATTCCTTTTTTGGATTATCTCTTCTAGATCTTTTTTCCCTCTTTGGATTAGTTTATGCCAGTCTTCTCTCACACCTTGTATGATAAGGCAGCCTTTGAACTGCTTTCTGCTTGAGAAGCTTCAGTAGGTTCAAAATGCCATGTAGAGGAAAAGAGATTAGGAATTGGTGATTTAGCTCAGTGCTGCTCTAGGCCTCAGGGAGAAATGACCCTTCCCTTCCATTTACTTTTTTGTTGCCCAGGGCATGACCCTAGGGGATAATCAAGGAAATGTATTTGTTTCTCATCTTGTCCTAAAGCTAGAGGGGCAAAAGCATCTCAGGTCTTGATTGTGGCCCAGCCCAGCACTCCAAATAGGAGGCCACATGAGGATTTTAGCCTAGAGCCTACCTAGTAATCAAGTCTGCACTTAATATACACTGTCCTTTGTCCCATGGAAACCTTTTGGGAACCTCTGGTGACATTTGGGTATCTGGCAAAGGATTTAGAGTTTCCTGTGTGTATCCATTCCTCTCTATTTCCTTTTATTACTTTTCTCCCTGGCTTTCTTCCTCAAGGGATTTACAGAGAACTATGCTGATGGCCCACGGCCACACATTGGTAAAACAACAGGAAGCCCACTAAGAATCTTCAGCTCTGATGTGTTTGAAGCCAAAAGCCTATTTATACGCTGCTCATATGCTCCCAATTCTTTTGATACTTGAAGATTATTTGTTGCATCTAATTTCATTCTTCAGCAGGTACTTGAGAACGTTGTTGTTATAACCTCTAAAATCAGAATTTTTAAAGTTGTAGAATTTCTATTCATAGCCTCTTTGAGCACTTTTTTCACACCCCCAGGATTATTCTTTGTATAAGCTTTTCTCCCTGAAGAATCATACATGCAGTATTGATGTCTCACTTCTATGTGCTTCTTCTTCAGTGCTACCTTGCCCTGGCCAAAGGAGGCTTATCTGATGACCATGTCCTTATCCTGCCCATTGGACACTACCAGTCAGTGGTAGAGCTTTCAGCAGAGGTGGTGGAAGAGGTGGAAAAGTATAAGGCTACACTGAGGCAGTTCTTTAAGAGTCGAGGAAAACGGTGTGTTCTATTTGAGAGAAATTATAAGAGCCATCATCTCCAGCTACAGGTAGGAGCTTTGCCCAAGAACTTGGAAGGGCCCTATGGGGACCTGGTATTGATAAATATTTAAACTATGTTAATTTGAATAATTAATTTGATATTTAAATATTTGATTTCAATAGAAAACAATTTTTAAATATTTAAAATATTTAACATGAATTTTCACATTAATATTTAAATAATGTTCATTTAAAAGGCTAAAGAGTCTGGTGATTTCAGGGGAAGTGCCTGGTCAGTATAAGTGAACTGCACAGATAGTAAGTCCCTTGTTTAGAAAAAGAATGTGTAGTTGAGGAAGGTTCCAGGAAAGATGTGGGCCTTGATTGGTAGAGTTTGAAAGAGATTGGGTATTATGTGTGAAGCGCAACACGAGTGACCACTCAAAGGTAAGAAATAGTCACAGATCCAGCATGGGGCTAGCAGCTCAGACATTTGGAGATTGTTATGGATACTTTGTAATTGTGGTGGTTTTCTTTCTGGCACATTTGTTAAGTTTTCAAATGGGCCTGACTCTGCCACATATATTATATAGGAGCTGGCAAAGGTTTGATGACAAAGAAATTTCTCTCTAGCCTTTCCCATATCAAAGATAAGCTCCCACATGTGGCAGGCTACCTCATAAGTTTAAGTCCTTACAGACAGGCTGACATCAACCTGACTGGCCTGAGGAGAATCTCTACTGAGGGGTGTTCTCTACCCCTGTGATGGACTTGCTGCTTCTCAGGAACTATAGAAGGCATGACTTCTCTGGGACCTGCACAAAGAATTTCTTCTACCTTCTCCCCCTGCCCCCAAACCCCAGGTTATTCCTGTGCCACTCAGTCGCTGTGCTACTGATGACATTAAAGATGCCTTCATTACCCAGGCACAGGAGCAACAGATAGAGCTACTGGAAATCCCAGAGCACTCTGACATCAAGCAGGTAAAACAAGAGGGGACATGTTAAACCTGAGGTACTAGTAAGGCATTCCAAAAATGTTAAGTAGGCAGGTGACAGTTTGCAACTAGAACATGAACTATTGATTAGATTGTAGACAAAGGTGGTATTACAGCAATGCCTCAGTGCTTTTCTGGGATGAGTAAGAAATGAGAAATTTCCTAAGGCAGGAACTTAGAAAGATGGTGCCACTGAGAGGATCTTTGTAATATCTGCCAGTCTGGCTTTTTTAGCTCTATTTCCAGTAAGGGCTTGGGATCTATAGCTGCTCGCATCCTTTTTCTTGTGCTTCTAGACTGAATTCTTTGCCAAATTAAAACTTGTAAAAGATGAACTAGGATTTTAGATTTTCAAAACACTATTGTATATCCTTATGTAGCTCTGTTTACTTTAGATTGCACAGCCAGGAGCAGCCTATTTTTATGTTGAACTTGACACAGGAGAGAAACTTTTCCACAGAATTAAAAAGAATTTTCCTTTGCAGTTTGGAAGGTTTGTATATTTTTCTTATTTTAAATGTGTTTTCACTAGACCCGCTCTAAACAAGGGAGTGGGCTGTATAGACAGTTAAATAAAAAGCCGAATAAGAAACAGTCCTTGCCTCAAGGAACCAACAATCTTAGGGTAAGTCAGATATATACATATATGATAGTAACGTAATGCAGAATGTGAAAAGTACCATTACAAGAGTTTGAGGAACAATGTGCTTTAGAAATTCAGAGAAGAGAGAGCTCATGTCTGCTTAGTGAAAGACTTCATGAAAGAGTTGAAGTTAAGTCTGAGAGAGAATGAGGGCAAACATTTGACTGGGCATTCCAGCCTGAAGGAATAAAGTGCTACCATTCATTGAACATATGCTCTGTGTCAGACACTCTGCTAAGAACTTTACATGCATTGCTTTATTTAACCTTCCCAACTCTGTAAGGTGGGTACTGTCGTCTCAGTTTACCAATATGGAGAATGAGGCTCTAGAGCGGTGCCCAATAGAACTTTCCACAGTGATGAAAAAGCTTTTATAAATCTGCACTATCCTATACAGTAATAACTAGCCATGTGTGCCCATGAGCACTTAAAGTGTGGCTAATGTAACTGAGGAGCTGAATTTTTAATTTAATTTTAATTAATTAGGATTAAAATTTGTATATCTATATATAACTAATGGCTCCTATTGTAGACAGCATAGCTCTACAGTAGTTAGGTAGCTTTTCCATGGTCATAGTGGTAGGTTCAAACCCATGCCTTTTGGACCCCAAAATGTGTGGTCTTAATGTCATTATTCTAAGGTGTCCTAAAGGTTTGGATGAGGCATTATTTCCGCTCAAATCAGGGAGAACATAACTGCAAACCATATAGGGAGTGGTATAAATCAGGCAAAGACTGAAGACAGGAATTTGCTGACAAGAAGAGATATTGCATGGAACAGAGTCAAAATGTACATAGCAGTTTATCTGATGCTGGTGTCTCTGATATGCAGCTATTTTTTTCCCTCTTTAGAACTGAGTTTTGAGTCAACTTTGAGCCCTTTCCTAGACTAATTTGGAAAGCCTCCAAGAAATTGCCACCATTGGATAAGTCCAGTAGATGTAGTTGTCTACATTTTCAGAAAGATAATTGACAAATGAGAGCAAGTATGTTAAGAGCTTCAAACATTTGACATTATCCTTTTGTTGCCGCCTCAGCAACAGGTGCAGATGTGAGCACTGATGACTTAGGCACTGACTGCACATACTCACAGGTGCATAAGCCTACAGCAGTGATTCTTTGAATGATTTTATGCTCATGGTAGTTGTATTTTCAACACTGAGTATTTTTCAAAATATTAATTTACAGTTACATAGCATTTTATAATTTAAAAAAATACTTGAAAAGACATTTTTTCCCCCTGCTGTATAAGAAATGTAGTTCTCTTCATTTTACAGATGAAGTAGGCTCAAGTTTTGCCTAGGCAGCTAGAACTTGGCTCAGGGCTTCTGACTTTTAGGAGACTCATATGATTTGTTTTCAGCTGTTCCATTTATTGTAGCTTCAAAGTGGAAAATGAACCATATAGATGAGCAAATAGTTATTTCTAATATATCAAAAAAAGTAAAAATAAATAAAAATATAAAGCACTGGCAATTAGAAGGTAGCTTGTGTGTGTGTGTGTCCGTATGTAGTTTTTACTCCTAAGAACCAAGATAAGTGTTGTTGATATTGAGCCTGTTCTATTGTGCCTGTGTAGGCCTGAATCCCCTAAAACAGGGGTCCCAAAACCCCTGTTTTAGGAACCGGGCCGCACAGCAGGAGGTGAGCGGCGGGCGAGCAAGTGAAGCTTCATCTGTATTTGCAGCCCCTCTCAGTGCTAGTATCACTGCCTCAGCTGCACCTCAGATCATAAGGCATTGGATTCTCATAGGACCGCTGCCCTAAAAGGAAAGGCAGAAAGAGTAGGGTGTGATACCAGGTGCCTGACTTTGTACCATGCCCTAAGCAACTCTTGGTCTAATTTGGATGACAAAACTAGAGTTTAAAGCAGGATGTAATCACAGCTAGTTTGTTACTTTGATTGTGTTATCTCCATACCACACAAAACTCTTATTTTGCATTTCATAAGTTAAGAAAATCAGGACTCAGGGATGAAATCAAGTCATATCAAGTGACAGAGCTAGGAATGGAATTATCTCTGATATTTCTGACACCAGGGCCTGCCCTCTTTCTCCTGTGCCATGTTGCTTCTCTAAGTGCCAATAAATTGGTTCCAAGTTGTTCAGAGAAGTAAATGGGATTTGAGGGGTTAGGAAAGAGGTAGGATGTGAGCTGGTCACTTAAAATGGGTATGATTTTGATTATAATAGTGCCATTCTTGGCAGATATGACACTCAGGGCAAGAGAAATGGTATAAAGTCAGAGGAATTTGTATGCCTTCTTTGAGTGATGCTGAGGAGAGCTCTGGCTAGGGAGTAATAGGGGGGTTCAGATTGATACTGTTTATTTTGACTTTGTGGTCTTTCTGCAGGGAGGTCCTGGCCAGTGAAGCCATCCTTAATATTCCCGACAAGTCTGACTGGAGACAGTGTCAGATCAGCAAGGAAGAGGAGGAGACCCTGGCTCGCCGTTTCCGGAAAGACTTTGAGCCCTTTGACTTCACTCTGGATGACTAAGCAAAGGGAAAGGCACTTTATAAACTTCACAGGAAGTAGTAGCAGCCTGTTTTTTAAGAAAATACAGTCTTCCATAGGGACTGTTTCCCTGCCTCTTTTTTTTGTGCATTCCCACGGAACCTGTCTGAAGCAAGAGGCCTAAAATGGAATCTTTTTGGAAAAAGTCACATTCTAGGATGAAAACCCTGTATTAAAAGCATGTCTGTCACCCAGCTCCAAGCACAGCTTTTATCAACCAACATTTTCAAAAATATTTAAACTATCAAATTAAATTCAAATACTTTTCCAGGAACATTTAGGAAGTGCCTTATGTTCATGTTACCTATAACCACTGAAATGAAGTAGTATTTGTGTGTAACAGGAGCCAGGGCTTTAGGCCCAACTTTTATCCCAGGATCTCACAAGTGGCTTCTCCCTGAGCAACCTAGGATGGGGAAGGGACCTAAGGCCTTTGCCATTTTTCTTATAGCCTTTATTTTATTGATATAAAAGAGTTCATTCAGTCCTTCGGCAAATACTTAACTCCTGTGTGCTAGGCATTTTCTATAGTCATGTTTTTTTCCCAACATGGTTTCTTTTGTCTCAGAGTTTACAGTCTAATTTGGAAGAGAAGGGGCAGATTTAAGAAAAGATGAGTTCTGCTTTAGATATGTTGAGTTTTAGCGTGCTCGGATAATTATAAACTCATAGAGATCCGGATTTGTGATAAGGCTTTCGGATCATCAAAGTATAGGTGAAATTATGAGGATGGATAAGAAAATAAGAAAATGGTAGTACAGACCTACCACTCATAGAGATCTGGATTTGTGATAAGGCTTTGGGATCATCAGAGTATAGGTGAAATTATGAGGATGGATAAGAAAATAAGAAAGTGGTAGTACAGACCGAAGATGAAGATGACTACCTTGAAAATAGAGTGATCCAACAAGTATATGTCAAAGGAGCAGAGAGAGACAGACATCACAGGAGAATGCCATATCTTGGAGGCCAAAAGAGACTATTTCACTTAATCCTCAAAATATCAATGAGGTAGATATTATTACCTCCATTTTATACATGAAACAAGACTGGCAAATTTGAAGTTTATGGATCCTGAGGTCAACCAGCCCAGGATTTTTAATAAAAGAGCTATGCAGCGTCCCTGTGAATGCCAGTGATCAATGAACTATGGGAAGCAACCAGGTTCCTGCAAAGATGGCCACTTCTCGGTGAGCGTAATCATGAGTATCCTCAGCATCTCTCCCTGGCTCTTCCAAGTGAGATTTAGGAGATTTCAGCCTCACTTGTGGAGATCAGACACACTCCAGTGTTGGCTATGCCATACACCTAGCAAATGAAGGCTTCATACTGTTAGGACAGCCCGCCACAATCATCTATGCAGTCTGCCCAGCTCTAAGGGATGTGTTGGAGGTAACATTTGTAATCACCTCCAAGTCTGATACTCCAGCTTCATGGCTACCAAGCATGTATGGGAAACCAGAATTTCCAATACCATACATATTACTGATGGCCAACACAACTTTGTAGCATGCAGGGTTCAATCTAATTGTATCATTCAAGAATTTTGGTGACAATAGACAACATTTGTTTTTGCCAAAAGCCTGGTCAATGCATATGCTGTGTCCACATGTAACATCTATGGTGTACAACCATATGTCACTGTTAGTTGTAATTCTGAGTTCACAGGCAGGGCTGTGCAAATGATGGTCCAAGTGCACATCTCAATAGAGGTTCAAGTGACCATGCTTAACGAAACCGACATATTTCTTAAGAGAATTTGAGTCCATGCTCATTGTGTTATACCTGGAGTGATTGGCAAGATCCCCAGATTCCATGAAGCTATGACCAACTCTTAAAACGAGGAGCTGGTTTCCCTATGCTAAGGCAATCTGCTACTTGGAAGCACTTCTTGTTGCAGTAACCGCACTCCTGAAACGCCTCTGCAGCCCTCCATCACGCATAAAGCAATCCACACAACGAGGAACTACGGCACTGGCAAACCCATATCTGGATGACAGCAAGCTCTGTGAGGCATTTAGGGAAAAGTTACTAGGTCGAGAGAACATTCTTTACTTTGGAACAGCATCACATCCCTGAGTGCTTTGAGATTACAGGGGAGATACTGGGACAGGTATATAAGAAGAGCTGATCCCAACTCATCTATGGAACATGATTAAGGAGGCATGCGGGGGGAGGAAAAACTGAAGGCTAATGTATCAGTGGGCCTGTTAGCGCAGGATTCTGATTCCATAATATTTAAATCAGTGGAGGCTTTGCCAGTGCCAGCTCAGGAGGTGGTGGGGTTGGAGAATAGATGGCAGAGGTCTGAAGAAAGGTGAAGTGTAGATAGGAAAGGTGTGAAGTCTAAAAGACCAATACGGGACAGACTGGTTTGGAGGATGATTTGAAGGAAATGTAGGGCCCGGAAAAAACAAGTGGGCTCTTTCAACCAGGAAAATGTCCAGAATACTTAGCGGTTTGAAAGCGCCTTCCTCTCTTTCCACTCTTTCGCCTGCAGGGTTGCTGCGGCGCCCTAGGAAAAGTTGGCGCGGGGCGGGGTTCCTGTGGCATTAACGGAAGTGACGCATCATCTCGCGAGAAGAAGGACGCGCGAGCCTCGGCGGCCCGGAACCGGCCTCAGTACCGTGGTGGAACCTGAGGCCGCTTGCCCTCCCGCCCCATGGAGCGGCCCCCGGGGCTGCGGCCGGGCGCGGGCGGGCCCTGGGAGATGCGGGAGCGGCTGGGCACTGGCGGCTTCGGGAACGTATGCCTGTACCAGCATCGGGTGAGGCGGGGCGCGCGAGGGAGCGGCGGTGGGTGTTTATCAAAGCGTCTGTGGAACACAGTGAATGTCAGTATGTGAGATCGTCGGTGAGACCTTGGGCAGTATTTTGGGCCAGTGAGCGTGTGTGTGTGTGTATGAGAGAGAGAGCGAGATTGATTGATTGATTGATTGTGCGTGTGAGCCTGGTGACTGAATCTGTGGTTGTATCTGAGGTCCTGGGTCAGCGTGTGTGAGATAGAGCTATTAGGGAGAACTTTGGGCTTGAATGTCAAGATGTGACAAGGTGTTTACTGAGTGTGGCAGTGCATGTGTGCTTCTGTGAACGTAGAGAGTGTTACGGTGTGTGAGGCAAATGCACATCAGAGTGTGTGTTGTATTAGTGGATGAGATAATAGGGCTGAGGAGGGGGTCTACCTATTGGAACGTGTGTATTTGCGTGTGCTTTGAGGCAATTGTGTTATCAGTGGGTTTGGAGTAGACAAGGCAAGTTTTTTGGTGGGTCCACAGGTTAAGCTTTTGGAAGCAATAGGTACGCTTTGTAATTGGGAATGAGGGTTAGCTGCCGAAAATGACCATGACTTCACAAGGGAAGGAGATAGATTGGGAGAAAGGTGTTCTAGTCTAGTCGATGGAAGGCAGCAAACATCCGACTCAGGAATTTTGCACTGATTTAAATGAAAATGTTTAACCATTGTAGCAGCAGTTAATAATCATGTTTAAGCTCTTCATCTTTTGTTAACCTATGAAAGCTACGAATCCTTTGCCCAGAAAAATGCACAGAGGCACATCCATGCAGCATTATGCATTGCCATTTGAGAAAGTTCATGCTCTTCTGAAGGACATCCACAGACTTTTTAGATGTATAGACCCTAGACTAATAATACCTTCAGTATAGCCTTTGTTTTGTTAGCTGTAAAATGGTTATAATAACGTATATACATCATGGGTCTGTTTGAGAGTTAAGTAATGTGTGTAAAGCTAAATATAATACTTGGCCCATGGTAAGCCTTCAGATATTAGCTCCTGCTGTTGTTGTGTTGTTGCTATTATCATCATCTTAATCATCATTAATTGACCATTAAAAAGGAAATGTCAGGATAAAAGTGTTCTTGGAAGATCTTTTTGTAAAAGTGAAATCTGAGTGGAAAAACATATGAGACGAGATGAGCAGTTAAGATAGTACTAAAATGCTTGCAAGTGGCCTGTGAATGGAGAAGTGAATTCAGGAGTAGAAATCATGATTTGCTGTCTTAAGGAATATAGGTGCGGGTAGAGAGCCCATAATATAGGGTGAGAGGTAGAAGAGATGAGAGTCTACCTGGAAGTAACAGGCATGTTTGTGTGACAGTTACAATGACAAACGTCACTGATAGAACAAGAAATTTTGTGAAGTAGATTTCCAGATAGAGAGACTGTAGGAGGAACTCTTGGAGAGAGGGAGAATGAAAGATGAAAAACTAAAGCATTAAGGACTTTGAGAGCCAGACAAGTAGTAAATTTAATAATTCTCAAAGGTCGCATAAAGCACTCAAAGAGAAAAGAGAGGGAGCCAAGTACTTCCATTGGATGTTGCCTGTGGCCTTTTTATTGAAGCCTGACCATCAGCCTGGTCATAAGGAAAAAGTATGCATGCTGGCATGCTTTTATGACTGCTTTTCTTGGTTCCTGGTTGGGGACAGATGAGTATCACCTTTTAAAAATTGTGGTAAAGAATATATAACATAAAATTTACCTTTTTATCCATTTTTAAGTGTACAGTGCAGTGGCATTAATACATTCACATCGTTGTGCTGCCATCACCACCATTCATTTACAGAGCTTTTTTATCTTCTGAAACTGAAACTGTACTTATTGAACAAGAACTTCCTATTTCCTCCTGTTGTGAGCCCCTGGCAACCACTATTCTACTTTCTTTCTCAATGGAATTTATCATTTTTTTCAGTGGAGGAGATTTGAGTCCTCTAGAATCTTAGAAACCTCTTAGGAACTTTCACGGTGTCCAGAGTGGACTTCCCCAAAACTGGGACATTTGACAACTAGGCCTGTAGTGAAAAGAGAAAAAATACTGTCAGGAGACTTGGAAACAGCGTCGTTACTTTTGCAAGCCTGACTTAGGTTTGCATTTACAAGCTTTCAAGATCCTTGTGTTTTGGTGGAAGGCATGTCCCAGTATTTCATCTATACCTCTTAAATCACAATGAGAAAGAGAAAAGGGTGTGAGATGGTTTATTTAGCTGATTACTGTTCTGGGTGCTAAATGGTAGTGCCCAAATCAACAAAAACAGTATTTTCTGCCCTCAAGGAGATTTCAAGTCTAGTGGGAGAGGTAGACACAGAAACATTTCTAAGTACAGTATTGTAACCTATATAACGAAGGTATTTGTAAAGTAATATGGAAGCATGGCAAAATACCCAAAGAACTTCCTAGGAATAGGGTAGCACTTCTCAAACTGTGTTTGGAAAAACTAATCTTGTGAAACACTTTGAAAAAAGGATACTACAGTCAAATACATTGGGTAGATGCATATATAATATGCCTTCATTTGGAGAGTCATACCCACATTAGCATATTAAAAGCTCTGAGAAATCCTATAGTAAAGAAACTAATTTAATTTCGTATTTTCCAATTATTTCTTTGTGGTAAAATGTAACATTTACCATTTTAACCATTTTTAAGTGTACAGTTCTGTGGCATTAAGTACATTTACATTGTTGTGCAACCATCACCACTCTCCGTCTCTGAAATATTCCATTTTTTTTTTTTTTTTTAGACATAAA